AATCATAAGCCAAATAAACCTCTTTCCTTTATAAATTACCCAGTCTCAGGTGTTTCTGTTACAGCAACACCAAACGGACTAAAACAGTTGGTAAACTTGTTCTTACTTTAGAATTGAATTTAGTTTCCCCTTCAAAAAATAAGAGTGGTAAAAACCACTTTTTCCCCAGACTTTATTTTAAATGAACTTGTTATTTTAGAAACAGTTTTAGATTTACAGGAAAATTGTGACGATAGTACAGAGCGTATACCCTACACCCAGCTTCCCCTCATCATTAACATCTTACATTATTATGGTATGTTTATTGCAACATAATATATATTTTTAACTTAAATTTTAAATTTAGAGGCTGCCCTGCCTCTAAGTACAGTGTCATTTTTCACTGGCACAATTCATACAAGGCAGAATTCAGCACGTTGTGATTCTAACTTGGATTCCACCCACGAAGGCTTAAGAACTGAAATTCTAAGGGGATTTGGCAGAAAGAGCCACAAGGAGGAAAAAATGACTAACATGAAGCTGAAGACACGGTTCTGACCTAGCAACGCCACATACTAGTGCCTGATCTTAGAGACGAATCCATGTGTCACCTGCAAAGGGAAAGTGGTCCGCCCTCATGGCTATTGTGAGCATCGCCTGAGACGTTGGTGGCAAAAGCTAACAGTAGAATTCTACAAAAATGCCTAAATTATCATTTTAAGGTAGTTCCCTCATAAGTAGGGTGGCCGTGTACGTTATCACACAAATTGAGACACTTGAAAGTGAAAGACGCTTGAAAATGAAAGCAGCGCTAATAATGACACAGGTCCTGTGCACCTGGCACCTGCGAGGGAGCTCTTAGGGCCTTTGTCAGGGAAAGAGACAAAATCTACCCCCCACGGCCCCCCACCCCCAGCAGCACCAACCTGCTGGGTAGGGCAGCAGGGAGAAAGGGGTGGGGGGGACGACTGTAGAGGGGTGCATGGGAGGGAGGGAGAAGAGAAAGAGGGAAAGTAGGAAAAGGAGAAAGTGGGACAAGAGTGGGACAATGGGGAGCGGAGGGATAAAGGTGGGAAGGGACAGAGAAGGATACAAGAGAAAACAGGTTCCCAGCACTGGCTGGAGTGAGGCCCGAGCTGCAGAGGTCAGGAGCACACTCATCACCATCTGGTGACACACACCAGCAGGGGCGCGTGGCTGGAGCGGGCATCTCCCCCCACGCAGAGCTTCTGGGCAGCCCAGGACTTCACCTCCCTCCACCTGGACCCAGGTCTCTAATTCCCAAGCTCCTCTGAATCCAACACCTTCTCTGCTTAAACAGACAGAAATCAGCCTTTGAAACAGCCCCGGGAAGGAGTCCGGAAACCTCTCCAAGGTGGGGATGCCTGCTCCACGTGCTGCAGGAGAGCTGCGGTCCCCGCTTCCCACACCCACGGGACCTCCTGGTGGCCTCACCTCCTCCGGGAGTCTTCCTGGGTAGATAGATGTACCCAGCAGAGGTCATTTCCCACCTTGGAG